TACCTCCGCTAATCATCTCACTCCTACCACCTCGCCTGCCTCTCCCCTGCCTATACATAATCCCTTACTCCCATATTCCCACTTATATCCTATTCAATCATTATCCCCCTACATGACAACCATACGGTGGGAAGAGAATGTTTGGATATTGTCTCCGTTAGTTGGTTACACTATATTCTTGCAGTACTTTCAAATTTAATATTATAATTCCTAGTAATGCACATTACATTAGTGACACATTCATAATACAGAGTATTATGAATGTGTCACTATCATTTATGGATATTGCCATTTTTTTATGCTACCCTGGTACATTTTATTTCTCAGACGTATCCGTGTGCTATATAAAATGTGACTCCTTCCCTAAACCGCCTACAGTATTTAAAAATATGATTCTGTTATTGCACGACCCATGTTATTTTTAAGCACGGGAAATGCAGTCAAGCAAGAAATTCAGCTGTTTGCGATATGCGTTTTCTCTTCATTATAAAATGGCTCTCTCATGTGAGGATTGTACGTTTGGGTGAATGTAGTGAAGTGAGGCAGCATATTCAGTAATGGGAGATAAATTTCCACGTTGGCAAGATTCAGCATTGCGAACTGAATGGTTAAAACAAGCATATCATTCTTGCGAGCGTGTGCGCGCGTATGTGTACGTGGGTGTGTGTGCGCGCATGGGTGCGTGCGTGTACTTACCTTTATGTGTGGTTGCAGGGGTCGAGTCACAGTGTGTGAGAGAGAGCGAGAGCAACCATGCAAGCGGCATGGCAGGCGGACCTGAAGGCAGCCAGAAACATCCGCATTGTCACCATACTACCATGAACAGATTATTTACATCCACTGTGGACAACATTTGCTTGCGATATAATGAAGCTGAAGGTGGTGGTGCCGACAACTTAAAAGACGTAGCAGTAAAAGATAAGCAATCCAAATAATTTTTTCATGAATGAGCCTCAACACCCTGTCAATGTATGCCAAATTTCTGACATAACCCTAACTCCACTAGACTTTGAGAAAGCCATTGACAACATGCCCATGCATTCAGCCCCAGGCCCAGACTCGTGGAACTCTGTGTTCAATAAGAACTGCAAGAAATCCCTCTCACGGGCCCAAAGTATGCTGTGGAGAAGGAGCATAGACACAGGTGAGATTCCGCAGTCACTAAAAACAACGGATATAGCCCCATTCCATCAAGGTGGCACCAAAGCAGTAGCTAAGAACTATAGACCAATAGCTTTAACGTCCTACATCATAAAAATCTTTGAAAGAGTTCTAAGAAGCAGGATTGCAAACCACTTGGACTCCCAACAATTGCACAATCCAGGGCAACATGGGTTCAGAGCAGGTCAATTCTGCCTCTCGCAGCTACTGGACTACTATGATATGGTTTTGGATGCACTGGAAAACAAACAGAATGCAGATGTAATTTATACAGATTTTGCAAAAGCCTTTGACAAGTGCGATCATGGTGTAATAGCACACAAAATGCGTTCTAAAGGGATAACTGGCAAAGTAGGCAGAAGGATCTTCAATTTTCTAACAAATCGAACACAGAGAGTAGTGGTAAACAGAGTTAAATCGGAAGCTGCCATAGTGAAGACCTCTGACCCATAAGGCACAGTACTCGCCACTATCCTGTTCCTCATCCTCATGTCAGACATAGATAGAGATGTAAACCATAGCACCGTATCATCCTTTGCAGACGATACTAGGATCTGCATGAGAGTGTCATCTATTAAGGACACGGCAAATCTCCAAGATATAAACCAAGGTATCCAATGGGCAACGGAGAACAATATGATGTTCAATGAAGACAAAGTCCAACTACTCCGTTTTGGAAAACTGGAGGAAATAATAACTAGGACTGAGTGTACTGCAAACTCTAATCACACAATAGAGCAGAAAAGTAATGTGAAGGACCTGGGAGTGGTAATGCCTGAAGGATCTCGCCTTCAAGGATCACAATAGTATCACTATCACATCTGCGAGGAAACTGATAGGATGGACAATGAGAACATTCAAGACAAGAGATGTAAAGCCGCTGATGATCCTTTTTAAATCACTTGTTCTCTCTAGGCTGGAATACTGCAGTACATTAACATCTCCATTCAAGGCAGGTGAAATTGCAGATCTAGAGAATGTACAGAGAACCTTTACTGAACATATAAGCTCCATCAATCACCTTAACTACTGGGAACGCCTGGAAGCACTTGACTTGTACTCACTGGAGTACAGGCGAGAGAGATACATCATCATCTACATCTGGAAGATCCTGGAGGGACTGGTCGTTAATCTGCACACAGAAATCACTCCCTACGAAAGCAAAAGACTTGGCAGGCGAGACAATATACCCCCAGTGAAAGTAGGGGTGCCATTAGTAGACTAAGAGAAAATACAGTAAGTGCCCGGGGCCCAATAGCCTCCCACCAGCCATAAGGGGAATTACCAGTAGACCCTTGGTTGCCTTCAAGAGGGAGCTGAACAGATACCTAAAGTCAGTGCCGGATCAGCCGGGCTGTGGTTCGTACGTTGGACTACGTGCGGCCAACAGTAGCAGCCTGGTTGATCAGACCCTGATCCACCGGGAGGCCTGGTCATGGACCGGGCCGCGGGGGCGTTGATCCCCGGAATGCTCTCCAGGTAGCAGACCCCCTCAGAGATTTCGCGACATGTTATAACTTCTCTTCAGTAGAAATATTTGGTCACCCTTGGATCACGAGGAGAGTGTATACTGAAGTTCCTAAAATAATTCGGTGATAAACTTGTCAAAAAGACCAAATACTCTACAGCAACCAATTTTCTTTCATTAGACTCGATGTAGCGATCCAGAGAGGAAATGCCTGCTTCTTCCTGACACATGGTCTTCCTCATTTAAGTTGGAGGGAGCTATCGAAGTCATTCATGTTAACCTCATTTCTAGCATATTAAGATAAATTCTTTGGAAAAAAAAAAGGTGGTAGAAAAAAAATCAGCAGCTTCATGAAGAAACCCCAATTTTTTTTAGTGAGGCCATTTCATTCTCGTTTCTGAGGTTATGGAACACCCAGTTAGTATCAGAGGTGGTCCCTCCCATATAAAAGAATGTTATGGCTATTTTAAAAAATCTTTGTATGGTATTTGACATATGAATGTATATGTTAACGTGTATATGTATTTTTTAACAGTTGTGAACGTTTGATATTGAAGCAAAAATGGTAAGTCCTGCGAGCATCATCGCGTTGGTAACCAATGATGATGCAGCAGCTTCCTCGACAGTGAGACACTTAACTTTTTCCAAAATATTGAGAGTGAAAGTGCAAGTTAATCGCTGTTGAATTACATATGAGTGAGAACTACTGTAAAAACCTGTGACTGCCGTCATGGTAAATTATGGACAGCCTCGCAATAATGTTTTATCTTTACTCATGAGTGACTACTATACCCAGCTTCACTAGTTAATATTATATACCAGTAGTAAAATATAGTCATTAGGGTACACGATTAATTAAAACAAAATCGTAATCCTACACAGTATGTTTAATGGAACAGGCTGGCATAAACACGCTACCTCTCCTCTGAGAAAACTTGCCCACACTCTGTTTCTGCTTTTGCAACATTGCATAGCTCTTGATGACGCGTTAAATATCCTGAGCTGAAGATTTCCATCTCTCACAGCTTGTTTTCCATTAAGCTCACTTGTCTAATGTTTATATATAATATATATATATATATATATATATATATATATTAATATATATATATATATATATATATATATATATATATATATAATATTTATATAATATATATATTATATTTTTTATATATATTTATATATATATATATTTATATAATTATATATATTATATTTATTATATATATATATATATATATATATATATATATATATATATATATATATATATATATATATATATATATATATATATATATTTCGCCTGCTCTTGCGAATTCCTTGCATTGTTTAAAAATGTCTAGTAAGGCTGATGCATGCAGGGAATGAGATGAAAAGCTGTAAGCCTTCTCCCTGAAAGCTGGCTGCCTTGGATCAACGTCTAGCGCAAGCTGGACGCCAAGGTATTGGTCCAGTGTGGTGAGAATGGTATAGCACTGCGTACCTTGCTCCAAGGTTCGTAGGTTCGAGTCTCCTTCAGCCAGAGATCAGTGTTTGTGTATATTTCGCCTGCTCTTACGAATTCCTTGCATGTATATATATATATATATATAATATATATATATATATATATATATATATATATATATATATATATATATATATATATATTTAATGAATAAACAGAAATATGGAAGGGGGGGGGTCGAACCATGACCTGTAAATTGACATCTGTAACCCAACTGAACTCCTTCCTACAGGACTCAAGAAATCGTAATAACACGATTGCAAACAAACCATACCCCCGGCCCGGGATTGAACCCGCGGTCATAGAGTCTCAAAACTCCAGCCCGTCGCGTTAGCCACTAGACCAGCTAGCCATAATAAGATTCATCCAACTAGGTATATTTCTACACCATAGGAAGGTTAGCACAGGCACCACTGTGACCACAAATGCAAGTTTTTACAGACGAATCTCCAGCTAGCTGGAGATTATATATATATATATATATTATATATATATATATATATATATATATATATATATATATATATATATATTATATATATATATATCTTATATATATATATATATATATATATATATATATATATATATATCTTATATATATATATATATATATATATATATATATATATATATATATATATATCTTATATATATATAATATATATAATATATATATATATATATATATATCTTATATATATATATTATATATATATATATATATAATATATATATATATATATATATATATATATATATATATATATATATATATTAACGTAAACAAATTGGTTTTCCCAGAAATATTTGAAGTACAGTGTTTACATTATTTTTATTTCTATTTTTACCCCTCAGTACTTGGCGATGCTGATATTGGCAGTTTCTGCGGAAATTGGTGGTATCATCGCCATCAACCTCCTGCACCTGAGAGTAAGTGAGGGTGTGGTGGGAAGTACTGGAAATTAGCCAGACGTGTTGGTTTCATCAGGTTAATATTCTAAATAAAATAAACTTTTTCTCGTATGTATGACTTTGCCACAGTATTTCAAAAAAATGCTGTGAATTGTGTTTGGAAGTATATAGAGGTAGTGATATAGAATTGCAGCCCAGCGAGGGAAAATGATAGGATGGATAACGAGAACCTTCAAAACAACTGCAGTGGCGGCTCGTCAAAAAATAGAATGGGGGGACTGCGTGACTGCAAGCCTCATGATGCGGTACTATAAATAACAAAAAGGCACAATACCGTGACTGGAACGATACACAAATAACCCGCACATAAAAGAGAGAAGCTTACGACGACGTTTCGGTCCGACTTGGACTTTGTCAATGGTCCAAGTCGGACCGAAACGTCGTCGTAAGCTTCTCTCTTTTATGTGCTGGTTATTTGTGTATGCGGTACTATCTACTGCATCAAACCTCTATTTTTAATATTTTTTATCTCGTTTCAACAACAACAACAAAAATAAAATCGCATATAAATACATGGAAAACAACATACAACAGATTTTTCCTGTAATGTATTTGTCAGTTGCAAATTATTTTAGCATAAGGTTGATGAAGTATACGTCTGGCAGTGAGCATCTGGGGAGACCAACTCCTGTAGACGAGCGCCACCACAGGGGATGCCAAGCCAATGATGGTATTCTTTAAGTCACTTGTTCTCTCTAGGCTCTACACTAACAGCCCCATTCACGGCAGGCGAAATTGCAGATCTGAAGAATGTACAGAGAACCTTCACTGCACGTGTAAGTTCAGTCAAACACCTTAATTACTAGGAATGTTTTAAGGCTCTTGACCTGTACTCCCTGGAATACAGGAACATCTGGAAAATCCTAGATGGAATGGCCCTAAATCTGCACACAAAAATCACTCCCTATGAAAAGGAAAAGACTAGGCAGGCGGTGTAATATACGTACCCACAATGAAAAGCACGGGTGCCGTGAATACACTAAGAGAAAACATAAATGTACAAGGCCTCAACAACCTCCCACCATGCATAAGGGGAATTACCAATAGAACCCAGCCTGCCTTCAAGAGGGAGCCGGAATCTTTTTTTCACTGTAACTTGTCCATTTTTATCACATAAATTTTAAATGTGTAATTAGTGGCACAGTTTACGCTTAGACTACCGTGATTAGAAGGTGCTGTACTCTACATGCATTCTCTGTGTTAGCTAAATTATTATTATTATTATTACAATCAAAACTATGCGCTAAACCCACAAGGGTCATACAGCACTGTAGGGCAGGATGTTCTAAAGGTGAAATATGCGAAGATAGAACAAGGTGACCGAAGAGTGGCAATCATGGAACTTGGCCTCCCTAGTTTTGAAGGTTTCTCATTATCATCCCTGACATATTTTCTTGCCAGATGCGATTGAACAATGTTATGGAACCTTGAAGGTGAGGATCCTCACGACCTGATCACTTCTCCAGGTCCTTTGACGTTGGTGTTTGCTCTATTTGAAGCCGGGAGATTGTTTTAAAACTATGATGAAATTTAATTTCCTCATGTCCTAACAAATCCTGAGTAATCAAATTTCTCAATCGTTTGAAATCATATTGTTTTTCTTGACAGCCCACCTGAAAGAGTTTGGTAAGTGATTCGTCGCCAGACTTTGCAGTGTCTGCAAATGGAAGACACTGCATTGTCAGATTGGGTGTCATCTGCAAAGGAAGACACGGTGCTGTGGCTCGCAATCCTTCTATGTTCAATATGAGCATGAGGAACAAGATGTTTGTTTTTACTTGAAATTGCGGAACGAGGTATAGGTAAACGAGGGATAATGTTTAGGTAGAAGGATGCAATATATTTACAGCGATTTAGGAATGCATACAGCTCATTTGTGAAACGCTTTCCGGTTTAAAAATTCCTTGTAGCAACGCTTTTTGCAAGCTGCTACAAACCAGGCACGTTCAGAGAATTTAGAACCATCAGGTATTAATGCAACGGCATGGTTTGATTCTAGTGCATTTAGGCGTGGGTCAAAGCTGCAGTAAGATTAGCTTTCAGTCCCGCCCGGAAGGTGGGACAACTCATGTTCAAAGGATTTTCCAAAGGGAAGGAAAGGTAGCGCAAAAGGACCTTTTCTATCGTTTTTTCCATATTTTTAAAAGAGAAGGTCATGAGATGGAAAAATATCGGAGAATTGAATCTTGCCAAGAGCAAGAGGACCATCGCCTGCATATAGGCTTCCGCTGGGAAGGGAAAGAAAAAACCTAACCAAACAATTCATGATATAATAAAAGTTTGGGGAAAAAAAAGGGGGGGATTGTGGGAAAGGGTGCAAAAAAACGTTTGCAAATATTTTGGGTAAGACAGGGCAAATGAAGTCGAAGGAGGACTTCGTTCAGGGCCCCTCCCCCCTCCTCCTCCTAGAAAAGGGAATTTCAATTTTAAACCAGAGTTTGGAATTGGGGAAAAAAGAGGTAGGAAGATATTGGGAAAGGGTGGGGGGGTGGGGAGAGGGTAATCGAAAATTCCCCCTGGGTGGGGGGTTAACTTCAAAGAAGTGTATAAAAAAGAAAATTTGAGAAGTGAAAAGTAATGGAATGAAGGGGTAATAATTTTGACCCCCTTTTTTTTTTTTTTTTTTTTTTTTCCAACATTCCCACCATCAATTTAAAATCCCCCCATAAATTTTTATCATTTTAATTTAAAACAAATTTTTTTTCTTTTTAAAAAAAAAATACCTTTTCAATAAAATTTCCCCAAATTTTTTTAAAACTTCAATAAAATTTTTCTAAATTTTATAATTCAACCCCCAAAAACCCCCCCACAACCCAAAAATTACTTTTCCCACCCAACCAAATTTTCCCCCCCCAAACCCCCCCCCCCTAAACCCCCAACCCCCCCCCCCCCCCCCCCCCCCTTACAACCTTTAAAACCCTTTCCCTCACCAAAAAAACCCCCCCCCCCCCCCCCCCCCCCCCCCCCCCCCCCATGTTTTAAAACCCCCTTAGTTCTGGGAGGGGTTCTTCGGGCCCCTTTCACTTATTGTTTTGGGGTTTTTAACTTTTTTGTGACACCCCCGCTTTTTTTTGGGGGATGGTGCTGTCTGGTTTTTGTTTTTGTATTGTTTTGTTGGGGAAGTTCGGTCAGCCCTCTTTTTAATTTTTTTGTTGTATTAAATTTTTTTCTTCCCTCCCGGTTCCGGGAAAATTACGGTTTTGAAAAGCGTCCAGTAATGAGGGTTTTACCCGTTTGCGCCCGTGAAAGTTTCCGGCTTTTCTGGTCGGCAATTTCCCCCGCCTTTAAGGTGCTTTAGGGTGCGCAAATTTCCAGCCTAGATGCAAGGGGAACCTAAGGTGTACATTGGGCTTGGCCCCCATTTTGAAGGTCTAATTATCCCCGCTTTTTTGAGTGCGTTGAAAATGTTATGGTTTTTTGAAGGTAGTTCCCCAAAGATCATCCCAGGTCTTTTGACGTTGGGGGTTTCGCTCTATTTTGTGGGGGCCCGAATTTGTTTTTGTACTTGATTTTAAGATTTATTTTTTCCTCATGTATCCAATCTGAGTAACGAAAATTTCTTTTTTCCCCTCATCGTTGAACTTTATATTGTTTTTTGCGCCCCCTGAAAGATTTGGTTTATGTCCCCCGGAGCTTTGCATGTCTGCATTTGGAAAAACCTTTTCATGCAGATCGGGTGTCATCTGCAAAGGAAGACACGGTGTGTGGCTGACATCCTTTTCTATGTGGATATGGGTGGGACAAGAGGGAGCGAGTACTGTGCCTTGTGGAACAGGTTTTCACCGAGCTGCTCGGTTTTCTCTGTTGACGACTACTCTTGTGTTTGTTAGTGAGGAAAATTATAATCCCTCGACCGACTTTTTTTGTTTTCCCTTTTGCACGCTTTTGTGCGCTATTACGCCATGGTCACACTTGTCGAAAGGGTTTTGCAAAGTCTGTATATATTACTCTGCATTTTTTTTTTGTCTTTTAAATGCTTTTGGCCTTGTCAGTGACCAAAAGTTGAGCAAAAGGAGCGATTTCTAAACCCCTGTTTCCCCGGGTTTGGGAAATGATGGGTTTTAGATGGGGGGTGATCTTGTTTTTAGGACCTTTCAAAAATTTTTTGATATGGGATGTTTGTGCTATTGGTCGTAGTTCTTCGCTGGCTTTATGCCCCCTTTGTGGGTGGGGCTGGGTCTGTTGTTTTTAGTAAAATGTGGGCGACCCCCGGTCCTGTCCCCCTCCATAGGGGGAAAAAGGGTCGTATGGGGCTTTTCATTCTTGGAACACAGAGTTCCATGAGTCTGGCCCCGGGGCAGAGTGCTGTGTCATTTTCGCCGTTCGAAGTATTGGCCAGGATAAACGGATAGGCTTGTGTTAATCAAATTTTTTGGCTCCTTTATAAAAAAATTTATTTTGATTTCGACTCTCAGTCTGGTTAGGGGGGCTTCAAAAACTGATCATATTGGGACTTGAGTAGCTCATATTTTTCCCTTTCGTCATTTTGTGTAGGACCCCTCTTTTTTTAAATAGGGGCCCCAAAACGGAGTTTTTTCGTTTTGATTTTGGCATAGGGAAAAAAAACTTTGGGGGTTTTTTCGATTTCTTTTTGGCTTTTGTTTTTCCCGCGATTCCCGACTCCTAAAGGATCTTTTGCTTAAGTTCGATGCTTCTTTTCTCTGACCAGTGTTTTCCCCACGCATTTCAGATTATTGACCCCTTTTAGCCCCTCTGTTATTCTTTTCCCTCGCTGTAAAGGGAGCGCCGTCTCTTTTATTTTTCATCTACCCCTCCTTTTTCTTAGGGAAAAAGCCTTGTGCCTACATCGAGTGCCACCGAGTTAAACGTTCTAGGGTAAGTTGGGGGGGTTTTGTTTCTTAGTATGTCTTCCCAGCTTAATCGGTTAGGACTTGGTTTACTTTGGGCCCCCCTTTATGTTTTTTTTTTGAAGTTTAATTTGGTGAATGCTCACCGTG